TTGTGTGATCCAACAACCATTCCAATTCTTTTCGTCCATTCTTTCCGAACCCAATGTTCTTCTCGTGCACGACTGTCCCAGAGACACAAAAAACAGGGGTGCTTCGTATTTCCAGATTGCAAGCCAACTAATATATTGATCATCTTGAAATCGCCACAAACGAGCCATTTGTGTTCATTGTAATTGATTTTCTCAAGAAGGAATCGAAAGTTATCGTGAGATTCTTTCATCACAGTGGAATGAGCAATGGGAATAGCTGCATACTCATTCCCATTGTGCAGAAGTACTGCCTTGAGACTTTGTACAGATGCATCCATGAAGAGTCGCCAGTTCTCTGGATTATAACCTCCTTGCACTCCATATAAACTGATGAGATGCTTTATATCGTTGCAGTAAGCAAGGTTATCCACGCAAGTAAAATATGGCCGAAATTTAATATCTCTCTTCCTGTAAATAGAAACTTTTGTCTCAGGTAATAAAAGATTTCTTTCTTTTAGTCTTGAAGCTAAGAGGTCTGAAGAATCTTTCGGAAGATTCAAATCACGGATCAGATCATCCAAAGAATTTTGGTCGAAAAGTTTGGGCTTTTCTGAGTCAGAAAAATCTTCTTCATCACTACTGCTGCTTTTGTCTGTTACCGGAACTTCTATTGGTTGAAGTTTTTTTGGCTCAGAATCAGAATTTTTTTTCTTTCTATTTTTCCATTCTGAGCTGCTGTTACACTAGAAACGTTCAGATAAAGGAGAGAAGCTTTGTTATTATGATTAAAACCTAAAGTATCACATTTACAAAAGTAACAGTCATCATGGTGATTTTTAGGTTCACGTCATATTGTTGGTTGGAGAACAACTTCGGTTTTAGTTTTATTCCAGTTTTTCAAACTTCGGCGACAGTCTTCACAAATATATTTAGGAACCCATGGTTTGTCTAAATTCTTCATAGGTATCTCGTAACATTCTTCAAACTGATCTTTAATGATATCAGTGATTGATCGACGAAGTCGAGCTACCTCATATTTACCGCAGATATTACAAAAGGAATCGATTTTTCCTTTGCATGGAATTCTACATGCCGACATCTTCAATAACTTATAAGTTAATTGGAAATCACGAGTAATATTATAAACTTATTCTAATAACGGAATGGGTAAATATAATTAAATTTCTAGAAGACAAAGTAATAATAAAGATCAGTAAAAGTACTGCACGCAGTTTATATGAGAAATAATAGAAAGTATTTAATTCCAGTGACTTCTCCGTTAGCCTGCCGCTCAAACACGATCTCTAACACGGATGAAGAGTAGAACACAAAAACTTGGAGTTTTCGAGCAGTGTTAAAACACGAATAATATTATAAACTTATTCTAATACCGGAATGGGGTAATGATAAAATTTCTGAAAAATGAAGTTATAATAAAAATCAATGAAAGTACTGCACGCAGTGTTGTACGAGAAATAATACCAAAAATTCAATTCCAGTGACTTATCCGTTAGCCCGCCGTTCAAACACGATCCCTAACACGGATGAAGAACGAAGCACAAAAATTTGTTGTTTTTGAGCAATGTCATACACGGTTATCCTCAAGTAAGGAAATGTAGGCCCTAAGTGAATCCGATATCTGCTAACGTAGATACTTTCTTCATCGTTAGTAGACCAGAAAAATGTAAGATTAAAAATCCTAGCTGATCGATTTCGCAAGTTATAGACACTTGTATGTAAACGTAAATTGTACTTGTATACGTAAGTTGGATATGAATTTTCCTATCACAGACACAAATTCTTCTACCTTCTTTTACCGCAGAAATGACGTCTATCGTTGTTCCATTGACCCAGCGGTATTCCCCGTCCATCAAACCCGAATTTCTTTAACCCTCGATAGGACCGGGGGTTATAGCTTCGTAGGTTCAAGGCTCGAGGGTTAAGGAAATTGGGGTGTGAGGGGCGGGGGTTATACCGCAGCAGGTTAAAGGGCTCGAGAGTTAAGGACTTTGGAGTATGTCGGTCAGGGGTTACAGCGTCGCAGGTTATGGGGCTCTAGGGTTAAGGGAATTGAGATTCTAGAGTCATTCTGACGTTACATTTGGATTCAGTGACCCAAAAAACATATAATTACACTATAACTTCTTATTCAGAAATTCGCCACTATTTCGTGCTGTAACTAAATCGCTAAATCACTCAAATTCAATCTACGATATCTCGATGGAAAAAAAAGATTTTTTAAATCTGAAAAAAGGATTTTGAAGGGTAAGAGTAGTACTTTGAGATAGCATTATTCGTTTTTTAAAATAAAATTGGCTTACGACGTAATACTACGCGAAATATAGTGAAAAATCGTGTTTTTTGAACTTTTAGGTTAGGATTTCTCAAAAACCCAGGGTGAAGGAGCAATTCTGAGGTCCGATTCGGTTTCAGCACTCCAAAAACGTTTGGGAACGTACTGTCTGGTTTCTGGATTTTTCCATTTTTGAAATTTTGTCATCCTGTGTATTCTTCGCAAATGAGCACTACAAGCCAATAATAATATGAGGTACCACGACGTACGATTTAAAGCTATCAATTCTTGGATATATAAATTTAAGAAAGTGCATAGATTAGTGGACAGAAAAATAAATAAATTCATTATCACAGAAGCTTTACGTGATGAGTCAAAGTTGAAAGATGAAGTAAACAAATTTGTAGATAAAACATGAAATTATATCCGTTAGTATGAATAAGATAATGTCTACAACTCTGATCAAAGTGAATTTGAGTTAGAAAATTCATTCTAGACGAACACTAATAGAGAAAGGAACAAAAAAGTTGAGTGTATTGTTCAATCTGAAAAAATGACTAAAGTTATGTATAGTCTAAAATACAAATTTTATACGATTTATTAATTATTTATTACGTTTACGAAACATTTTGAAACCTGGTTAAAAGAGATCTTTTATCATAATGTGGGTAAAATTGTAAGTAAAAGTGTACTTCAAATAAATTCATGGAATGGACATTGTCGAGAAACTGTTCGAGAAGTTACTGTCAAAGATAAACATATCCATATTTAATGTTACCCAAAGGTACAACATCAAAGTTACAATCTTTAGATGTTTTTCGTTTTATAATTGAGAAAAACTTTGTCAGGTATTTCTCCAATAGTGTGATATTGTTAAATGAAGATTTTAATTAAAATTTGAGAAACAATATTATAAAATTACAAACACTTACTCACAATCAACTGTCTACATCTAGATATATCAATCTTTTTACATACAGTTGGTTTAAAAGTATAGACGAAAATCCTATCCATTTTGTAAACGTTGTTAAATTTACATTTACGCAAACAGATCAAGCTTCATATGAAGCACCTAGATGTACAAATGTTGCTATTATTAGATATTCATGATGTCGAAAATCTCTATGCCTTAAACATCATTTCAAAGAATTTCATTATTGCACAAATTAACATATGTACTGTAACTAATATTACAGAACATGTTGAATTGTTTTATAATTAAAATTGTATCATTGGTATTGCCTGAGCAAAAGAAGACCATTTTATAAATTACTGTATAATTGTTTCAATTTCTATCGATGAATAATCATTTTATGAATATTTTATAAATGATATAAATTGCGTTTTCTTTCTGACATTATTACTATGAGTACTTTTTACAACTTAAATATATTTTTTTATTTTAAAATTTGCAGACAAAATATTTTTATTTCTAATAGGATTTTTTCGTAATAGTATATTGTAATTTATTTAAAATAAATTTATAATTTCTTGGAGGTTATCATGTCAAAAAATATTTTTACTAAAAAATGTATGTTTTACCCCTAAATTCAGAAATAATTTTTATAAGACAATCTGTACATATGAAAAAAAGTTAGAATTACAATTATATGAATATTCAAATTGATTTTTACAATATTCATAAGAATAAATTTTTAGAGAAAAACCATAAAGATTATTTTCACACTTTAAAATCTATATAAACTTTGTTTAGCTTCAAATATTGTAGCTACTCTACGAAGACATATTTTTTTTTAACTTTGAAATTTTGTGAATATAAGGGTTCGTAACCCCCATAAAACGATTTTCTGATGAAATTTCCGAACATTTCAACTAAAATTTTCGGTTTACTTTACAAAAATGTATATTATAAATTAATTTAAGCGATTTTGAAAAGCTGGTACTCGAAAAGTTTGTAAAAAAGGGTACAAACAATTGTCATACAATTGCTATTACCTAGTAATTAGTTTAGCGTTGGAATTATATTAATATCCAATTATTTTTAGAGATATAATGAAAAGTTTATTTTCAGAGGTGATTATTAACGGCTATTTTCACCACATATAAACGTTTCTCCGCCGATAAAAAAAATACGTGTCTTATTTTTTTATGTTCTATAGCATATTACAGTTATATAAAATCGGAAGCGGACGCATCACAAGGGTTGATTGTAATTCTCATCTCTTCTGAAATTTATCCGACATGTCCGGATATTAACAAAAACTTGAACCACGTTCTCCTCTAATGTTCTTGTTTCAAGGAAGGGCACGAAAAATCAAATGAGATTAAAGATCTCATGATTCCGGAAGTATTCGAAAAGTGTATGCTTATCTCCCAAAATTAATGGAACAGCATTACTCTTTGGAAGAACATTATTGAAAGATTAAACATTATCAGAAGAGGCGAAGAAATAACAATGACAGACCTAAGACTTGAAAGGGCCTTCTGCAATATGATAGTCTCCACAACGTAATGCTTTGCAGCTGCTTCCACGAGGAAAACAAAACAGTAGATTGAAGCGATACAGATACACAGCTACACACTCATATACGCACACATGCACGTACAATCTAATTTATACGTGAACAATTCAGCACATTACTGAATTGTTCACGTGAAACAATTGATTTTATTGAAATAATATTGAAAACTTCAATTGAGTATCCTAAAATATTGTATTTTTCAAAAATATATTATTAAATCTGTAAGAAATATATAATAAACATACCAGTTTTATAGTCACTATCGAACATAGCTTTTCGACCTACGAAAAATTTATAAGTTATTTGTTGGGCTAAAGAGAAATGATCTTTGTAGATTGATGATTCTATAGCTCTTATCAATGGCTTACAAAGATGTAGTTTGTTTATCCTAAAATAAACTTTGAGAAGTTGATTTACAAGTGAAAGCATTCCCCAACGTTTAGTGTCATCTTCGGAACTACGATTATCTGCTGCACATATTCTAAAACAACTCATTAAACATTCTGCACATTTTTCTAACGTTTCTCCCGGTTTCAAATTTTTGCTTTTCTTGGCCTGCTCCGCTCTTATAGCTAATAATCTCAGTTCTAAGCACATCAAATTCATCACTGGTAACATCCAATTTTCATCCTTTTGATTTTGCAATATCTTTATCAACATTTGTACACTCGAATTTTGACAAGTATAAGTAATTGAAATGTCATCTTTATTCAAAGACGACAGAGTCCTGAAAAAATGGAATATCAATTTTAAATTATGTTTTCCCTTACTTTCATGTAATGAAATAATATAATACAAAATAAACCTTAAAATTATTACCATATAAACCTTAAAATTATTACTATTTTCAGTCTAATCAATAATATGTTTACGTATATTACTGACTACATTTTACCTCAGGTATTTGTTGAAAAAAAGAGAAAGACAAAATAAAAATATAATATCTCAACATAAAATTTTCTGTACTTTCCGAATCTGCGGTCAAAATTTAACTTTTTTTGCATGATATTTACATTTGACGTTTAAATGATCTTAATTCAGACATGACAAGATCAAATAAACTCCAGATTCAAACTCAGTAATCCTTAAAACTATAGAAACACTAGTTACATTCTTTTAAACGACTTTTTTTCGAATCTAACCTTCAAATGCCCTTGAACCTTAAGTGCTGGAGTAAAACTGACTAGAAATTCGGATTCAACGTATTAAAATACATGTGAATAGATGTATGTTGTTTTTTTCCCAGTTAAGTTCATGATTTATTATTAACAACGACTTACAAAAAATATCCAATTTTGCAACAATAGTTTTTAAAAAATTATGTTTAAAAAATCAATCTTACAAATTTGATGTTAAATTTTTAATCGGCGACCTCAAAAACTATTGAAAATATTACGTGTTGAAAAAATATTTAATTTTGCAAATCTAATGTCAATATCGTAATTATCGATTTAGAAAACTAAAAAATCACCATGTTGCATTATTGTACAGTGGAGTAGCGACTTATATTGACAAATATATTAATGAACAAAAAGTTATTATGAAGAACCGCCATTTTTACATTTCCATTGTGACGGGAGCAGGCGATTTATCGTGCAGCGCTCCCTCCCTTTCCTCTGCTTTCCTTTCCTCGACTGGTCTAGCAACCGACGTCGGGCGCATTCTAGAGTGCGCCTAATGCGGTTTGTTTTCTTTCAACGGCCCATAATGATAATCGAAGGCGACAATAAAAGTAAAGGAGATAGAGCAAAGAAAGAGAGATTAGATTAGATTAGTTCGTGTATTGCGCCAATGAGGTGGAACCCCATCTGGCAGTTTAGAAATGTACAAATCAAACATAATAAAATTTATATAATGACAAAAGAAGAGATGTAAGAATAAATATTAACGCATTTAACTATTCAAAGAAGATAATTTTAGATAAATGCGTGAATTGTATGTACGGTGAGCAGCGAGTTTACAATGGCAACAATGATAAGGTGACTCAGAATATGTATATAAATATAAAAATAGAATAAAATATATAAAATATAATAAAATAAAAGTATATAAAAAATATAACGAAAATAACAGATAAACAACAATGATAACAATAATGAAAGATAAGAAATAATAAAAATAATAAAAATAATAAAAATAATAAAATAATAAAAATAATAGAAACGCGATGGCACCTATTTTACAAAACACATTGAAAGAAGAAACGCGTAAAAGAGGAGAGACGTGTGTTTGGCTAAAAATAGCTAAATTTAATTAGCTATTTGATGAACCAAAGGTCGATAGTGGGGTATTTGTGGAAGGTTGGATAATTTTGGGAGAACGCGACTGGATTGACCTTGTTTGGTATGCGAGTGTAATCAGACAGTGCTGGCACCGGCATTAGGTTTTTGCGAGTTGCTCTCTTAATCCATGCTCCAGCCTTGTAATTTAAAAACAGGTCACGTGTCCAATTCTTGAAGTCAGTGATCTAATTAGTGAAGAACAGGGTCACGCTTAATGAATTGAGTATCCTTTGTGCAAGGATCGTTAATAAATGGTTCCAGGCCTCAGTTCAAGGAGCTTTTTATGCAAATTCCCATGGTGGATGGCGACTCAAGCGCCGGGTAATGACACTATCAAGCAGGACAGATAGGTTTTTAGCTAGGTAGTGTGGCAATTTTCTAGACACTACAGAGTAAGCCAGAACGGCGAGGGCTCTATACCTGTTCGGTGTAAGTTATAGCCAGTCTAGGGCTAATCTATGGTGGGTAATGTGGCTGTTTGAGGATAGTGTAGGTATATATGGGATCCATCCTATTACGAAGAGTACACAGGCGTTTTGGGGTTATTTGTAGCTTAGGCGAGCGCCCTCCATCGAGCTGAATGCAGACCACTGAGAGGTAGGCAAAATATGGAAAAAATGAGCTGCCCGACAAGAACTTTTCTAAGGGTAGTCGAAAGAGATTTCCTGTGGAATCGGAGTAAAGCCAGATATGCCCTCCTCGTCACGCTTCTGACATGTTCGGTCCAATTTAGCGCGGGAGTCAGTATCATGCCCAGGTTGCGAGCACTGGTGACATAATCAAGTGGAACCTCGTTAATGGTGATCTTCGCGATGTCATTCAAGTTTATAGCCCTAACGTACTGTTCGCTACCTGGTATCATGATCTTAGTCTTGGTAAGGTTAAGAGAAATGCCGTTTCTTAGAGCCCAGTCCGCTATAGCCTGGACATTAATCTGCACAATCTCCAATGCCTCCGCAAGGCCGTCCGGATAACAGTGAAGGTAGACCTAGCGATGAGCATTCGGTCACCCATCCCAAACTTCTTTTTTTCCTATTCGTAACACATCTAGGTGTGTTGTACACTTGTGGCTGTTCTATCATTATACCGTGTCCGAATTCCGCGTTTCAAATCAGTTTTGTTTTAAAGAGAGAAAATAAGAAAATTCTCAATTGTACAATATATAGCTATTGTTTGGTCATCAATAAATTAAATTGATGTTAGCCTCGGAAAGTACTGATTATACAGGGTGTCCAAAAAGTTCCGGGACATAAAACAAGATATAAAACAAGATAAAATAAAATAAAAATAAAATAACTATGGCGATAATAAACGCGAGACAATTTAAAGTGATGAGATGTAATGCAGTAAAAAATAACACCAGCAATGAGGAGTCTCTCCGAGTAGATTGTAATGTATGGAGTAAGGGTAAAATTGTTGACACAGGTACTTAGCAGCAATGTCTCGTTACACCATGGTAAGTTCTTTTTAAGACCATACAGTCTGTCAAGTAAGAGCGTGGCGACACTTACAGACAAATAACAATATTTATTAAAAAATTATTAAAACAATATTATACATAATAACGTCGTCTTGGATATAATCTCCTTAATAAATCGTCCAGTCGCCTCCCGAATCATTGATGGCTTGGCATCACCGGGGTATACTTTCAACGAGATTGACGGCATATTCGTTAGGTAAACTCCTCCATATTTACCGAATGTGTCAAGTTGCTTCAAATTGCAGGGTCTGATCTTGCGTAGTTTCAGCTTTATGTATGCCCACACATTCTCAATGGGGTTGGCATCAGGAGACTGAGCCGGCCAGTCCCAGGTGTCAATACCATTTTGCTCTTTCCATGAACGGCATGTTCGACTGCGATGTTTAGGGTCATTGTCTTCTTGTAGGATCCATGTTTTCCTCGAAAACATGGATCTGGCTGATGGTAATACCGCTTTTTGGTAGATCATAGTCATTTTATTGGCATCCAAATTTTGTGTGAAGAGACACAACGTTCCAAAGCCGTTTTTTGAAAAGCAGCCCCAAAAATTAAGTTTTACGGGGTGTTTCACAGTCCTTTGGACCAATCTACAATCGGAGGTTGTCCAGACATGTTTTTTTATCGGTAATGCCGAAGAAAATGTTTCACCCGAAAAGATTATATTGCTCCAATCACGGTCATGTTTTCATTCGCTGAATCAAGTCGTTTTGACACGTGGTTTTCTGTTAATGATGGTTTTTGCAACGTGCTTCGAAATTTTACGCCAGTACCACGCAAATGTGACCGAATTGTTTCATGGGATATATGTACACTATTGCTGCTCAATATTTCGGCACCTTGACGCAAGGTTAGCGTCGGATTTTTTTTAAATAGACGACGAATCATTGTTTCCACCTTTTTCGACACTTTATCCGAAAACGCTCGATTGGGTAAATCGTCAGCGTTTTTTATTTGTGCATAATGGTTTACCCACTTGCTCACAAACTGTCTTAACTTTTTCATATATTTCGCAGCGGCTGCAATGGTCATTTTGGGTCAATTGGGGTGACTATGTAACGAAACTCATATAAAGAAAGCATAGCGGCTCAAACAATTACTCATGTTATAGTCTGGGCGCTAGGGACCACTAAACTTTTTATACAGAAATCGAAAAAAATATTAAATGTATGCTTATTTATTTAAATTAGGCAAGTTCACATTGAGAATAGATTACATTTAATATTTACTGACATATAGATATGTATTACAACTCCGTAAAGTTACTGAAGATTAGGTTGTGGCTTATCTCGACAGCCAATTGACGGATTTGAATTTGTCACACTATTTGTTTTGATGTTTGGCTCCGCTTTTCTTCTAGTTGACTTGATATCCAAATTGAAGAGAAAAAAAGTCCAATTTCGTCCAAAGTATTTGAATAAATTTAATGTAATATATATATAGTAAGAGAGCCTGTTTATTAAATAACAGAAAATGAATAAAGATATAACAAAAAATTTGTATATGGTGTTGTTATGTCTTGAGCGTAAGCGATCCATAGAATCTAAGATTTAAGACGTACATATGTATTTAGTGAAATAAGCTCATTAAAGAGAATATATATTTGTAGGTTGTAAGAGATAATACGTATTTATATGATTTATAATAGTAATTCTCTTACCTGCATTGTTTACTGGAGTAGGTCAATATAGGAAATATTGAGATAAATTGATAAATGCAAGTTTCACTTTTAACTATTAATAATTGTTTATGAAAACTAAATGATATGAGATATTTATAATATCTTTATTACATTAATTGTTTATTAATTTATATATTTGCAAACAGTGTTTTGTTTACTTGTTACGTTATAAACTACTGAATGTTTCGTTTTCGCAGTGTTTGAATTGTGAAATTGTATCAGTTGAATTCTACTCTACAGATATATACATAATTTTGATTTCTTTAAATAATTGAATTTCGGAAACG